CCGCAGAGCCCCCGTCATCCTGGCTCATGTCGGACGCGGAGCTGGGGCGTTAATGTTTAACAGCACTCGGGAGTTTTTCCTGCCAGGAATTCCCCTTGGCTCCCTCTGTGCCTCTCCAAATCCGAGCGCTCACAGCACCTCCCGTTAGTGCCACAACAAGGGGCACAGATTTGCCCCTTGCTCATTCTGGACCTGCGTCCCGCCGCTCCCAGTGCCTGCGGTTTGTCTCTGCCATGTCCAGGGATGTTCCTCAGCTGTGCTGGCTTCAAACTCGGAGCAAGCTGGCGCTGCTCTGCCCGTGCTGCCCTCACCCCAAACCCTCCTGTCACTGTGCCCAGGTACAGGTGCCCAGGCAGGTCAGGACTTCGAGCTGCAGCAGCCCCGGGACAAGGTGTGGGTGGCAGCGGGAGAGACGCTCACCCTGACCTGCACAGTGTCCGCTGACAGGCCCATCGGCCCCGTGAAGTGGCTGAAGGGCTGGGGCAGTGGGAACGAGACCGTTTATGACCAGAGGGGCACCTTCCCCCGCGTGACGAGGGCAGCGGACGGGTCCAACACAGACTTCAGCATCCGCATCAGGGATGTCGGACCCGAGGATGCCGGCACCTATTACTGCGTGAAGTTCAACAAATCGCTGAGCGGTGATGAGGTGTTTCGGCGTGGAAAGGGCACGGAGGTGTTCCTGCATGGTGAGTGGGGCCCAGCAGGACACTGATGCCAAGGACCCTGTCCCACGCACAGCCCTGCCCACCGTGGGGTCCCATACTGCCCCGCACCCACCACCCCTTCCTGCTCTGCCTTGTGTCTCCACAGAGACTTCCCTGGTTCCCAGCATGGTGGCTGCAGCTGTAGTGCTCTGCTTCCTCCTCTTCCTCACCCTCTTCATCACCCTTTGCGTGTACAGGAGGAAGCGCAGGGGCGAGGCGGAGAGCCAGTGCCTGGCTGGGCTGGGGGCCATGAGCAGCTTCTCGCCCATCCCTCTGTGCTGTGCAGGGACCCCCGGCACCCCCAGGTTTGTACCCACCACCTCTTCCTTCTGCACCCGGAGACGAACTGCCTTATATCCATCGCCCTTATCCTGGTTTCCTCTCCCTCTGGAGCAGTGATTTTCCCAAAAAAAGATCCTTTACTCACAGGCTTACACCACGGCACTGTGTCACGTCTCTCTGTGTTTCACGGGAGAGCGTGGCGGGAGCGACTGGTGCTGGGGAGCTCCCTGCAGCCCCTCACCCCCGGGTCTGAGCCCGGCCCAGACACGCAGACAGCACATTGTCCCTCTCCTCTGCCTCCAGCGTGGGTGTCGTGTGTGGCCACGTGCTGCAGAGCCCGGCTAGAGTTTGGGAGGGGAATTGAGGAGGGGAATTGAGGAAGGGAATGGAGGAGGGGAATTGAGGAGGGCTGTGCTGAGCAAGGTAGGGAGGGGACCCACCTTCCCTTAGCTCTAATGGCTGCCTTTCCCCCTCCAGCAGCAAAATCCTGGATGCAGATCCTTCACATCAGCCCAGCCAGGTAAGAGTGAGCCGTGAATACGGGGAAGAGCATCCCGCACCGATGTCCCGGCTTACAGGGACTCTGCAAGGCTCTGGGGCCGGGGTGGGTGTTGGGTGAGCAGCAGATGCCTGCACATGGTCCTGGCACACTCTGCATCACGGTGCCAGGCTTCCCATGCAACCATGGCACCACCGTCCCGGCGTGAACCTGCCATTAGGGTTATTTTTGCAAGATTTCTCTGGTGACAGCGTTCACCATTTGTGTGCCTTTCTGCAGCACAGCAGCAAGGAGGACAACGAAATCCACTACGCCGATCTCCAGCCCCTGCCTGCGGCCCCGCGGAGCGGCAGGGGGCCC